CTCACTCAGGCCCAGCTTGGAGGCAGACACAGCTGTTTCTTCCTTTAAAGCCTCTGGGTCTAGAGAAGGTCATCTGGGCCTCCAGGTCTTGAGGTGAAACAGAGCCAGTTGGACTGGTTCAAGATGAGATTCCCAAGCCCTTAGGTCAGTGGAGTCTGACATTAGTTGAGCTGTCCAGTGTTCATAGATTAGCTTTGGTATCATATATAAAGGGCTCTAAAATATATCTTACTTCAAGCTGCTGTAATAGACGAATGAAAGTACAAATTGCTATTGTTCTTTTACATCTGGCCCTTTTCTAAGGAAAAAGGCAAGAGATGGCCAAAAAGAAGAGAATACACGTTTAGAAATTGGAAACCACAGGGGGGAGGATGTTCTTTTATTTGGCATCCTCATCCTCAAATTATAGGGTAAGAAGGGCAGGAATTAAAAGAGCTGTTCATGAGCTTTTGGGATGGGGTAGAGACGGAAGCAGCTTCAGTTTATAGCTGACTCTCCAGTCCAATGCTGGCAACATAGGACGGGGAAGGAAGATCCAGCGGTTCACAGCTGGAGAGGAATTTTGCCTCAGGATAAATTGTATCTTAAGTCTCATCCGTATCAAACTTAGATGATATTAGGTAAGACTATGGACGTTAGAGGTGATGGTGGAATGAGTTAAAAGTTTTGGGACTACTGGGATGAAATTATGTACTTTGCATGTGAAAAAGACATGGATTTTGAGGGGCCAGGGTTGGAATGCTATGAACTGAATGTTTTCCTTTTCCCAAAATTCAGATGTTGAAGCACTAACACACAACATGATAGTATTTTGAGGCAACACTTTTGGGGGGTCATTAGGTTCAGATGAGGTCATGAGATTAGTGCACCCATGATGGGATTAGTGGCCTTATGAGAACAGAATAGAGGTCTCTTGCTCTTTCTGGCATGTAAAAAAAAAAAAAATGAGAAGGAGGTGGTCTTCAAGCCAGTAAGGGAGTTCTCACCAGGAACTGAATCTGCCCTCACCTTGATTTTGGACTTCTGGCCTCCAGACCTCAAGAAATAAATTTCTATTGTTTAAGTCACTCATGGTATTTAGTATGATAGCCCTAGTAGAGTAATACCCACGGTCTTGGTGGAAGAAGGAAGGGGAATGCACAGCAGGGACTGGAGGAGAGCAGGGAATGTGAGGAGATAGATCCATTTAAAAATGCTCTCTACTAATAGATAACTGACCTAATATGCTCTCTACTAATAGATAACTGTTCCTTGAAGGATGAGTATGAGTAAGGATTATTTAATCCAATATTCTGTTGGCAACTGCAGCAAGCCCTCAGGACTTGCAAAAGAATGATGCCCTAGTTATCCACCTTGACATGAACATTAGAGGTGTGGTAAGGTCTGCTTTTCCTGGAAACAACTTACCTCTGCAATCCATCCAGATTGTGTGCTGTAGGAAAAGGAGAAGTGGATTGAAATGAAAGAATAAAGGTTGTCTTGGTTCTGCGACTCTCTTGTGTACAATCTTTGTATTTAAGGTGGGTTTGTTGTAGAAAATATAGTTTTATTTTTAATTCACTCAGAAAAGTTGTCTTTTATTTGGTGTATTTAGACTATTCACCTTTAAAGTTGTTATTCATATAGCTGGAATAATATGTTAAAATTATTTTCTATTCATTGTACTAGTTATTTGTTTCTTTTTGTTTTTTCTTCCTTATCTGTTTACTTATAATTAAAACCTTCTCTGGTTTTAATTGAGCATTAAATATTATTCTATTTTATTTACTCTTACCATATCAATTGCACTCTCTTTTTAAATTGTTTGGTGTTTTGCCCTCAAGTCTTCCATATACATTCACAACTAATCTAAATTCACCTTCAGGTAACCCAATACTGCTTCATGTGTAGTGTAAGTACCTTATAATGAAACATTTCTAAGAATTCCTTTCCATCCTGACATTGCTGTTATTCATTTTAATTATCCATATGCTATAATCATCCAACACATTGTTACCATTTTTACTTTAAATGAGCAGTTATCCACTAGATCAATTAAGAATAAAAAAATAGAGCCGGGCTCAGTGGCTCAGCCTGTCATCCCGCGCCTTTGGGAGGCTGAGGTGAGTGGATTGCCTGAGCCCGCGGGTTCGAGACCCGCCTGGGCAACTTGGCGAGACCTCATCTCTACAATAAATCAAAAAATCAGCCGGGCGTGGTAGCGCATGCCTGTAATTCCAGTTACTCGGAAGGCTGAGGCGGAAGGACCGCCGGAGCCCTGCTGGTCGAGGCTGCGGTGGCTGGAAGCGGCCACTGCACTCCAGTCTGGGCGACAGAGTGAGACTCCAACTCAAAAAGCAAACAAAAAAAAAAACCCAACAAAAATCATTTTATTTTGTCTTCATTTATTCCTTCTCTGACAGTCCTTTTTTCTTTTTTAATGTAGGACTGAGTTTCTGACCTATATCATTTTTCTTCTTCCTGTAGAATTCCTTTTGAAATTTCTTGCAAGGCAGGCAGTTAAAAATGAATTCCTTTAGTTTTTGTTTGCCTGAGAAAGTTTTTACCTCTTTGATTTTAAAGAATACTTTCACTGGGCATTGAATCCTAGGTTAGTGGGTTTTTTTCCTTCCAACACTGTAAATATTTCACTCAACTCTCTTCATGTTTGCATGGTGAAAAGTCTGGTGATAAATCTGATGTGATTCTTATCCTTGCTCCACTACAGGCAAGATGTTTTATTCCTCTGCTTTTCTTCAAGATCTTCTTTTTGTCTTTGGTTTTCTACAGTGTGAATACAATATACCCAGGTGTCGATTTAGGGTTATTTTTTCTGCTTGGTAACCTCTGAGATTCCTGGATCTGTGATTTGGTGTCTGTCATTAATTTTAGAAAAACCTCATATATTATCACTTCAAACATCTTCTTCTGTCCCATTTTCTCTTTCTTCTCTGGTATTCCAGTTTTGCGTATGTCACACCTTTTGAAATGGTCCCACAATTTTTGGATGGTCTCTTTTTAAAAATTATCCTTTTCTCTCTTTGCATTTTAGTTAGAAAAGTTTCTATTGCCATATCTTTATTGATTATTTTGTTGTCTGTGTCCAGTCTACTGACAGTTCCATAAAGGACATTCTTATGTTGTGTATTTTTAGCATTTCCTTTTGATTTTTCTTAGAGTTTCCATCTCTCTACTTACATTACCCATCTATTATTTCATAATGTTTACTTTTCCATTAGAGCCATTAACATATGAATCAGTTGTTTTAAATCCCGTCTGATAATTCCAACATTTGTACTACAGTTGAATCTGGTTCTTCACACTATGTTTTTTCTTGTAGTATGCCTTGAAATTTTTTTTTTTTTTCTAAAATCAATACACAGTGTCTCAGACAATAGCAACTTAGGTAAAAGGCCTTTAGTGTGAGGATTTTTGTTAATCTAGTTAGGAGTTGGGCTGGGTTTAATGTTTGCCATAGCTATAGGTGCCACAGGGCTCAAAATTCCTCTAGTGTACTTGTCTCTTTTGTTGTCTATAGGTTTTCCTAAAAACATATGCTTAAGTAGAGGCTGCACCTTATAACCCATTGTTATTATACTGGATTCCTGTTGATGTAGTGGCAAGGTATGGGAGATTTATGATTAAATCTGTCTTTTAGTGGACCTATGTTTCTGGGCTATGACCTTCATGAGTGTTTATTTTTCACCCCTGAGGTGAGACAGGAAGGCTAGAGGGTGCTGGGATTGGATGAGTATCCTTCTTCTAGGTGGGATAAAGCTCTGGTATTTTCCCCTAAGATGCCTTTGTTATGGAGAATGCCCTGGATGTATTTCAAAATGGTTACCTTTGTTCTCCACCATCCAGAACTAGGAGGGGAATATTTCCTGACTCTTCACCATGAAAAACTGGTGGGGTTTCTGGAGTTATACCCATGAAAGTATAGGGTTGATCTATCCAAGGACATTTACCCCTGCCTTGCAGGATTTCTTAACTGTTATAGACCAGAGACCACTGCTGTGTTTCTATCCTTGCCTTTGCTGAGTAGGAGTTTTTATTGTGGTGTGTATGCTGGAGTGAGGGTGGGAAAAAAAGAAAACTTGTCTTTTATTTTATAGGCTTTCAGATCATCAGGGCCCACATTTAGATCTAATGGAGAAAACTAAGCATCAAAGAGATCCTTGACTTTGAGGATGATGGGATTCTGAGTCCTTAAATCACCACACAGAGGAAAACTACTCACTGACCAGGAACACCACATTAAACTTGTTGTTAGTGTTTATTCTAAGTTTTCTCATCAATTCCATGTTTTGTTTTCACTCCCTCCTCCCTCTCCTCTTTCTTTCTTCCTGGTTAATTTTATAGAAACAAGGTCTCACCATGTTGCCCAGGTTGGTCTTGAACACCTGGGCTCAAGCAATCCTCTTGTCTTGTCCTCCCAAAGTGCTGAAGTTACAGGCATGAGCCACTGTGCCCAACCTGTTTGTTTCTTTAAAGTGTAACATTTCAAGATGAGCTAATAAATTTCAAGGCATGATATGTTTTCTTCTAGTTGTCCTAGATTTTTTCTTTCTCAAATTTCGAAGGATAATCCATTGTTTAAGCATTTCAAAATTTGTTAAACATAGTTCCCCTTTTTAAGTCTATTCATAACTGTCTGGATTTGATCATGTCTCCTTTCAGTTTTTAACTAAGTCATTATTTTCGTCTGTTTTCATATGAATACACTCAAATACAGGGGGTGCCAAAAAATGTATACACATTTTAAGAGATGGGCCACTAGCTTTAAGGCTGAGGAGGAAGGAAGTGGATTTTGGAGAGGCCCTCAGTGGGGGTTGAGGGGCTGCACCATCCCAGGGGGCTGGCAGGGATCAGCATGGGGTCAAGGGCCGCCATGGACATACTGTGAGATGTCCAGGAGAGACTCTAGCAGCAATCTCTACTAATTTGGCAAAATAGGAAATTGACCCAAATGACAAAGGTGGGGGGGGGCAGGCAACACCAGAACACCCATATGGCCGATCTTTGGTTTCTGAGAGAAAATGCTACTTTAATTGGGACTAACTTTAAGACCTTAAATTCACATACATCATCCAACAGTGTTACACTTCAAACAGGAAAGAAGTAACCAACCAGCCCATTAGGAATGGAATTTGCATAAGACTTTGCTACCTTTTACAGGAAAACAACTCACATGTAGCACCCTCAGCACGTCAGTGTCGGAAGGGCAGAGCCCCGCCTCCCTCCCGCGGTCCCACAGGGCTGCTTGTGTGCGCGTGCGCATGCGCAGCCAGGTGCACCATCCCAGAGCCTTGCAGTGCTACGCGTATCAGATTTGGCACATATTTTGAATTTTATTTTACTTTCACATTTACAAATTCAGGAGACCATGTTGAGAACAAGAAGGTTAAGGCCACCTTTAAGGAAACCCCGGCTCCCACGGCCCCTAGCTCAGCGGAATGGCACAGACACATGTCAGGAAACGGTCCTTGTCCCGGCACCTCTCAGCGGCTCTGGCTGTGCAAAGGTATCTGAAACGGTTGCTGTGGCTTGCTCACCTCGGTGCCTGGAGGCCACCTTGCCTGGATTTTATTGCTGGTGAACTTGGTTACCCACCTTCTAGCCACAGAGTCGAGGACAGTGGCTTTATTAGAAATGGGCCAGTGTTGCACATCTTGCTGAGATGAAAGGAAGTTGAAATGTGTAAACTGCACTGGATTCTGCAATGCTGGCATGTTGGCCCTGCTAGTCTTTGGTCCCAGGGGAGGTACCTGGAGGAAACAGGTGGAGACCCCCTGCTGCCCATCCAGGTGGGACAAGTCAGGACAGATGTGCCCAAATCCACAGCAGCCCAAGCTCCAAGGCCCAACCAGTTCTCTTTCCCATGCTAGGTTTCTTTTAAGACACCCAGACATTCCCCTTCTCAGGTAGAAGAACCTACTCTCCCTGCACTTTCCATATATGTGTCTCCTGTGCTGAATGAGTTAAGCACTTGGCAGACACAGGTCCAAAAACATGGACCAGCATCACAAAGGGATGGGTTCTGAAAAGAAGGGTCACTAGAAATCATCCTCTGGCCACCTCTGATGTCACAGGAACAAAAACATTCACAGAAAGAACGGTTTGCCTCCACGGTCATAGCAGCGCCAAGAGGAAAGCCAGAGATGTCTTTTTTCTTCTCAGTGTTGATGCTGCATAAGCCTCTTGCTTATCTATCCCTCTTGAAAGCGCTATTACTGTGATCCACCCGTGACAGGCAAGACCACCCCTGACCTGCCAGGACAGCCTTGGGTGCTCCCCTTTCTCTGACAACTGAGAAAGGACCCCTAACATCGTGTGATATCTCCTCTCTGTCAGACTGCCAGCGTTCAGTCTTTTCTCCCCTCTGAGAAGAGCAAAGGTCGGTGGCATTCAACAACATAGACAAGGGTATGGGGTGGAGGCCCTGGAGCAGCTTAATATCCAAACTAAGTTGCAACAGTTGGGGCCCAGCATCACAGGCCCATGGGAGACTTGGGGAGTCCTAAAAGTTGGGGTGTGGTGGAGGACGTGTAATTTCTGTGCTCAGATTTCCACCTGGTTAGCCCCTGGCCTAACAAAGACATCTGAATTCACAGGACCTATGCATTAGTTTAGCAAAAAATCTGGTTTCTGATATCCAAAGAGCTTAAAGTCCCCTTCAAAACGTGCATACAGGCGTCGGATGTCCCGTTTGCTGACGCCCAGAAAATAGTGCTCCACCTTGGTTCTGTTATACACGGTAATGCCCGGAGGAATGGTCGGGTATGACACCAGGTGGTCTATGCCTGCTTCTCTTAAGATGTACGGGGCGTCATCCTCCAGGGTCTCGTGGTGTCCAATCACACTGTACATTATCTCGCAGGGTGCACAGAGCTCGACATACGTCACCCAGTGAATGATGTGGTCCCCGAACTGAAGATCTAACCACCTGTGGTTCGGGTCACCCAGGTAGCGCACGAAATCTTCGAATTGAATCCCCCGGGTCTCCGTCCGATTCCTCCTGTATTTTCTGATGATGCCAGGAGCAATCTCATGCCTATACCAGGGTTCAAACCGGGGGTTGTGAACAAACTTATCCTTAAATGCAGAAATAAGTCTTTCGAAGGGATCTCTTACAATAAAAAACTTGAAGTATGTCCTCAATCTGAGGAAGAAATGAAAACAAACAAGAGGTTAACTTGATGCCACAGGAGAAACCAGCTGAGAGGTTGGGGAGTGTAAAGAATAAAGGAGAAGCACCCACCCTCTGTCGATCCCTCCCCGGGGCCAGACCCCGCCATGAGTACATTCCACACATTTCGTACTTATTCTAACCCAAGATTCTATGAATTAATCCTAATATCAACCCATTTACGGGAGAGGAAATGGAGCCTGGAAAAATCTTTCCATCCAAGGCCACAGGACTCATTCTAGAGGGTCTCTGTGATGACATCTCTCTAGTCTATGTTTTGTTTTATTTAAATACTTCTGAACTTCAAGAATGCATCAAGTTTTGTTCCTGAGCGGAAAACGGAAAGGGCAGGAACTCAGAGAGTCAAGAGTAGCCAAGGCCACAGAAAGTTACTGTAAGGGCGTATCTTCAAAAATATCTAGCGGAAGGGAAAAATAAGAGGGACGAGGGGTATTGGAAGATGGAGGGCAGCTTCACCCTCCAGCAGGCCGGACGGTGGCCCATGCGAGTGGCCAGGGGGGCAGCAGCAGGGCAGTGGTCTTGGCAAGGAGGGCTGGCAGTAGTGACAATGATAAGGGTGACAATGACGACATCCCTGCATGACAGTATGCTCACAGCATGCCAGAAACCACTTTCCAAGCTTCGTGTGTCCTACGGAATCTCACAAAAGCCCCAAAAGGTAAGTGCTTAGGGCAATAGAGAGCATGGCAGGATTCACCCAGAAGAATCTTTGGCAAGGGTTTGTAGGGTTGGGAAGACTGAATCAGCCAGGGTTAGACGCCACACAAGGCAGGCAGCTGCAGTGCAAGGGAGGGCAAAGTCCAGCTGGCAACCTGACACGGAGTTGGTGTGTCTGCATTACTTCTTTAAACTTTGCTTAACAGGGTCATCTGATAGTAAATATAGGAGAATGTTTCCATTTATTAGTGAAGACTCCATTCTGGCTGTGATTGGGGGTCTGTCTGTCTGTCTGCCCTGCCTGAGCTGGGTCCAGCTCATACCACCCCTCTGGGCATGGCTCCAGGAACAGCTCCTGTGGCAGTAGCCACTGATGCCTCTGGGAAAATGAAACATTAGGTAGGGTCTTCACTGCAGCCCAGATCCCTTTCTTATAAAGAAAAGATCATATCCAGCAAGATTCCATAAAATATAACAATACCAAAGCAGGACAAAGTCGACCACTTATTCCTATTAATAAAATTATGAGGCCGGGTTCGGTGGCTCAGCCTGTAATCCCAGCCCTTTGGGAGGCCAAGGTGAGTGGATTGCCTGAGCATGTGGGTTCAAGATCAGCCCGGACAACCTGTCTCTACAATAAATAAAAAAAACTAGCCAGGCATGGTAATGCGTGCCTGTAATTCTGGCTACTTGGAAGGCTGAGGTGGAAGGATCGCCTAAGCCCAGCAGGTCGACACTGGGGTGGCCCTGAGTGTGCCAATGCACTCCAGCCTGGGTGACAGAGTGAGACTCCAACTCAAAAAAACACAAAAATGCAACCTTCATGTTAATGGACTGCATGAAAGCAAGGCTGGAGCAGACGTTTGGAAATTCTCATAAGGATGTGCGAGTTTAAACGTGCTAGGTGCTGGGTATGGCCCAGCTGCCTCTCATCAGCACAAACTCACAGCCCTCCCGGCCCGTGGAGCAGCTTGGAATATACAGTAAGTACAGAACTGGTCCTAGAGTTTTTCCAAATTTCTTCTCGGGTTTTCAAAATCTCCCCTCCCCTACGAGGAGCCTGCTCTTACCGCCTCTGAATTTCTGCGTCACTGAATGAAGAGAGGCGAGGGAGGCCGTTCTTCTCGTGGTCGTGTACCACATTCTCAGGGATCTCCTCGATGGAAGGGAATGCACCTGGGAATAAAGAGAAGGTATGTTGGCTGCCTGGGCACGATCCTTGGGGAGCCCCTCCATCTCTTACACCTCAGGCCCCCTGCACGCACCACAAGCTCACCCCCAGTATCCAGCTTTAGGTATTTGAATTCCAACTGCTTCTGCTGGCAGGATGAGAGTGAAGAAAAGCTTTTGGGAATCCATAAGCCAACTAGAGGAAACGGGTGATTTCAGGGAGGGACAGAGAGGGAACAAGGGTAGAAATACTGGCGGTGCCTAGCCCTGGCAAGACACCCAATTGGGCTAAATCTGCCATGAGAGGAAGATCGCTGCATGCAAACAGAATCCCTAAAATCAGCAAGACATATTCTACCCTGAGACTGAGGGAAATGCCAGAGGAACGGGACTACAAAGCACAGTCCTAATGCAGCTGGCCCGGTCCACAGGCTGACTTTGCTCAGCACCACAAGCCTCCAGTCCACGGCCATTCTTAGGCGCCCTCATAGCATTTCAGGCTGGCGAGGGGCAAAGACTTTGGGTGCTGAAAAAAATCTGGCTCAAGTGTGAGAACTGTGATGATTCAAGACAGGAGTCAAAGGAGGACAAAGTGTGTCTGAGGAGAAAGCAGGGTAGTGTCAACAGCCAGGGTCTGTCATCAGGGCCCAGAGCCAGGTTCAGGCTGCTCAAGGGAACCTGGGCAGGGGCCATCCTGTGGCTCTTTTCTCAACACTGACAAATGGAAATGCACTGTCATGATGCTGATTTCAGCAAATCCCCTGCAAGCTTTAACATCCACCTTTGTTTTAATCCTGTCATGTTAGCATCAGAGTCCTGGGGAATAATCTGTCTTGGGCCATCTAAGCAGTAGACACAGCCTTGTCTGTTTTATTCAATCCTCCCTTGAACATCTAAGCCCCAGTCCAGAACTCTGTGCTATGAGCTGTGGATGGCTGCAAAATGGGCAAGAAAGGCATCAGCTCTAAAGGGAATGACAGACGAACCAGCTCTGTGGATCTGCACCTGGGTCTGCTCACATCCCTGTCCTTGTCCAGGTGCATCTGTGGAGCCACCGAGACTGTCTGCTTCTTTGTTATATGACCTGGCAAGCCCACTCCTGTTTTTATTCTACTCCTGTAAATGGGTGTTTACTTCTTTAGGACATGATGTTTCACAATGCAGTGGCTGATTTGTGAGTCTTTTTGTAAATTCCTCGTTTTCAATTTAATTTGCAACCTCGTTCTCCAAGTTCAAAAATCCAACACGCTATCAGGCCACTCCAGAAGCACGTTAATTATACACCGATGACCAGAAGATGAGGCTCTATCGCCCTTCTCTCCCTCAACCGACCTGTGCAAAAGCCAGATGGTGGCCAACAATGACCACCGGCTGAGGGCAGCACCAGGAGCGGTGCACAGGGGGATGTGGCACCCAGGGCCACTGCCCCTGGCAACCCAAGATCTGATGCTTCCTGAGACAGGAGTCCCACTGTTGTCTACTGGAACTAAATTCCTTTTGAAGTTGAATTTAGTAGACAGAGCCCATAATTATCTTGGATCAGTTCAGACTAATTGGAATTTAAACAAACATGGTGTCTGAAGAATGACTAACCCAAACTGTAGACTGTGCGGTCACTTTCTGATGATCTAATTTGTTCCCCAGCAAACATCAGATTTCCTGAAGCAAGCTGACTAAATCCTCCAAATTTAGATGTTCAACGTAAAATGGGGTACAATTTCTTTCTACCCACTGGCATAGAACACTTGGTCTGTAGGTGAAGAGCCCCCAGGCCCCCATGCCGGGTTTCTCCTCCCTGGCTCCAGGTCAGAGGCCCCTCTCACTGCAGATGGGTCCAACTGTGCAGGCCACTTCCTGGAGGCTCAGTGAGTCTGGGACCTTGACTCACGCAGGACAAAGCCCGTGACTATAACAATCAGCACAAGGAAGCTGTGGAGAAGAAAAGGGAACTACAGGGCTGGGCAAGCTGTCCAAAGTGGGCAGCTTCTGCTGTGAGAAGGGAGAACATCCTGACCATGCCTGTGCCCCTTTGAAAAGAATCAGAGTGACCCCACCAACTTTTAAGGTGCAACACTGATAGGAAACAACAACAGACAACTTGTCTGAATGGCTGCCAGTTCTTTCAGGAGAAACCACCCCTCCTTATCCTCTCCCACCTGGGCACGGAGACCCTTCCCCAGAGGGACATTCACTGGGGCCCACATGCACCATTTAGAACGATCAGCACTTTCTTCCACTGGGTGTTGCCCACTTTGGGAGTCTGGCAGAAAAGAATCTTGTGCTTGTCGCAGACAAATATTCGGTCCAGGACAAACTTGGAGACAGGAGTGTGCGAGAGATTCTTCAGGGCTTCATCCCTGCAGACGTTTCTGATGAGTTCCAGGCGCTCCAGATAGACCAGGGGTTGACCCAGTTGGCTGCCTGGAAACATCTTCTCCGGTGGCTGCAGGTGAGAAGGAGGCAAAAAGGGCCCAAGGGACCATCAAGAAGCAGCAGGTTAGAGCCACTCTTGCTGGCCTATCCCTGCCTCACCACCCAGGCCCCTTCCCCTCTTTCCTCGCTCCCCTTACTGCAGAAGGACAACCACTATGTAACCTCCCTGATACATTATGGATGAATCAGCAGCCCTGATACACTATGGATGAATCAGAATCAGCAGGGTGGACAGGAAGACGGGTGCAAACCTGTTCATCAAACTGTCCTTCCTGAGAGAAGACTGGCTTTAAAAAAAAAAGAAAAAAGGTGTTTGGAATCCATTGGCCAGAGGGGGGAAAAAAAGATGAAAGAGCTCAAGTTCTAAACATGTTTGAGTGCATGCTTCCCTCAGGCATTTAGACCTAAGAGAATACCTATAACATGAGAAGCCTTCCTTAAGGCAAGGTGCATTAAGGCACAATTCCAACTCCTACTGCTTTGTTAGGTGGGAGGATCATTCCTTCCTCAACTACCTGTTGAGGGTTCACTCCACTTAAGTCAGTTGCAGGGTCTGGTGGAGACCCCCAGGAAAGCCTCGGCTGAGTAAGAATGCTGAAGCACTGTGCACGTGCATGTATATGCACATGTACTGCATGTGGGTTGGAGGGGGTAGGGAAGCACACACAGAAATTCAGGGAGCCCCTGCCCTCTGGGAGCTAAAATCCCCTTGCTGTTCACATCTCCTCGTTCTCCAAGAAGCGTCCTGAGGGCACTTCTGAACAGCAAAGGCTGTTTCCCCAACCCCACTCCATGGGACCCTCTAGCTGTGGCCCTGTGTCTCAGTATTTTTAAATGTTTCTGTTGCTACTATTTCTTCCCTTAAAGCTACACATAACCTCCTCCCAAGATTTCAAGGCAGACAGTCAGTCCTTCCAACCAAATTAACTTTATTGAATGGACCAAAATGCCCTTGTTATACCTTTTAAAAAGCACCAGGCTTGCCAGGCAATACATTTATGGGTAGTTGTAACAACCTGTCCTTCCCAGGGGACTGCGTGAGTTAAAAATGGGGAGAAGGACGTAAGCCTTCCAGAGCACACTAGAAAAGGACACTGGAGATAGCAGGACAACAGAGGTTCCCGCCCCACTGCTCTGCTCCTGTTCTTCTTTCATGGATCTAACGTAACCAGACTCCCTGGCGCTCATAACCTGCATCCAGGCACGCTTCCTCCCTCGTGTGTTCAGCCGAATTTCCTGGGACTCCCCAGTGAAGGGAAGAACGTCCGGAGGATTCCTGATGGCCTACTTTTGGAGGTGAAGGCACTTGGGACATGAGAGTGAGTGGACAGCTGCAGACTTTCCCCACTGTCCCTCAGAGTAGCCTCTGCTCCACTCATGGGGCATCAACACCATCTTTACCTGCCACAGACCTTCAGAAACCAGGTATTCTCCTTGCTCTTACAAGAGCTCCGATTTAACCCCATTCCCTCAGTGACCCCACCTCTTGCTTACTCTCCCCAAAAGGGCCTCTCTCCCTCCTTTTCACTCTGTTTCAGTTTTTTTAAGCTCGAGCCTAACCCCAATCATGGAAGGCACTCACAAGCAGCACTTCAGGGGCTAGCACTACCAAACAAGTTCTCTTTAGAAATCGCAGGAAAATGCCCATCATATTCAAATTTTGCTTTACTTTGAGCACAGGAAAAAAATGTTATCTTTCCCTTGTATCTACCACCTAGCATTGTTTTCTATTTTTCCCTCTGTAACTATACAAACCAATTCAATAATAGATATTACTCTTGATTTTCAGATATTCAGCTACATCATGTACAACATGAACTTTTTTTTTTTTTTTTTTGAGTTGGAGTCTCACTCTGTCGCCCAGACTGGAGTGCAGTGGCCGCTCC